TGTCCCTGTATCAGTTCGCGGTACATGTCTGTCGTCAGCAGCTTCCTCATCGCGTTTGGTGCATTGTCCAAGTCCTGCAGGGTCTCGAAAAGTGGAACCACTCGCAGGTAGCTCTGAATGCCACACTCCCTCTGGAGAAGCACAACGGCCAGCACATCCGATGGTTGCTTGGCCATGCTGATGATGTACGCACCAAGGGACTCAGGCGGGAGCGTCCCAAGAGTCCTGCACAGCCACCCAGGGCTCATGGTTCAGTTTCTCAGCTTGTGCCAGAGTATCTTTCAATCTGTTTGCTTTTGCAAGCACTGCCACCACAGAATAAAATGGGCAAGCCTTCCTGGCAAAGCAACAATACCTGTCTGTGCATAAGCATTTTTCCAACGCTCAACAGAACATTTGAAGTGGATTATCACATCATCAGCAACAAAGCAAGAAACGGAAACCACCTCTACCCACCAACATCCAAAACAGGAAATAAAGCGCATCTGCAAACAACAGAAAGGCAAATTGAGGTTCCCACAAACGATCACCATTCACATCTGAAGAAAATGGGACAATGAAGATGCAGTTACCTGAGAGTTGCCACAACTTCCTCAGCGTCGGGAGACATGGGAGTACCAGGTGGCATGAGTGGCCTCTTCCCCTGGAGTTCAGTAATGAGGAAATCCAGCTTTTTTTCCTCATCCCATTGGGAATAAGATCCCATGCCCAAGTATTCCGTGATGGCATTGATCACCTCTGCATGGCGAGAAGCCTCTTGCCGAATGTCAAGACGAGTCAGGCTCAATCCAAAGGTGTGGACCTGATCGAAGACAAGGAGCAACCAGTTTGATGATGCAAGAAATGCCAGAAAAGAAAGAACAGCGGCAAACAACTCTTCTGGGAGTGGGAAGCTTGCATGCGGGGCCGAACAGCAACAGCTGAACGTACATTTATCTGTGCCATTGGTGCAGTATGTTAGCACTCTTTACTTCTGCGAATGTTGCATAGCATACTCCCATTGCAGCAGAACCTCACATTCTGTGCACCATCATTGCAAGTTGCTTGCATTTTGGAACTAAATGTACGTGCAGCAATGTGCCAAGATGCATATTGAGCACATACCGTGTAGCATTTCATCCAGTATGCATGCCCATGGCCTTGAGTTGTGCACAGCAGCAGTGCAGCGCAACATCCTAAATAGTCTTACCAAACATGGGTAATGCTGCACGCAAGAATGGGTCTCCAACAAATGTATCTTCTACCCACGCAAAGAATCTAGGCTTCCATCCCACTTCTTTGCAGATGTTCAACATGGCTCTGTAGGAGCCCCAGGCAGAGCAAGGTGAATACAAACAAGGGGCCGCTGAATGCCAACGAAGCGTGTCCAACTGACACACAATATCCTTGACAGCTGTCAATTTCAGTTCACAGCCCTTGAGCTCGTTCTGTGCATGGTTGCGTGTCCATACTGAGTGGAATTTGCCATGGTAAGGGCACCTATGCACCTGTGCACGTTGCTGCACCCTTTTCTGTAACATCATATCAACCACATTCCACACACAAACAAATGTTTTGGTGTGGCACTGTTCTTGAAGGGAAACAATCGCCACAGAATGTTCAGCAGTCTTTAGCCATGGCATGGGGTGCAAAACGTCAAAGGGGTGAAATGGTGGTGCAATTTGCTCAATTTGACACCTTGATGAGTGAATGCTGAGACTGGTGACTTGGCTTTCCCCATACTCCCTACAACCTTTCATCTCTACATTTTTATGTCTTCACATCTGTACACATCTTGGTCCACACAGAATGTAAGGAACATCAGTTCGATTCTGTCGAGGCACTGCGACCTGTGCCAAAAGTCGCTAGCTATCGCAGTAAGCATCAGGGTACCTGGCGAATGACATCCAGCAGCCTGCCGTTGGCAATGGGCTCGTCTCCCGTTTCGTTCAGGGAGTTAAACATCAGCATCAAAGGCTCAATGAGCTGTTCGCTTGATGAGATGCAGTCTTCATCTTGCAGCATTTGTTGAACATTCTGCTCTTTGTGGCTCAGGCACTGGTGCAGGACTTCCCTGAAGAAACAGGGGACACTCTATATCAATTGACTGTTATTATTTAGCACACGTACATACACAGGAATTGGATACCGCTTCCAGAGACAAAAAATGTTTCAAGTTGTGCGCAAGCCTTCCTGCTTTGCAGCACTGCAGGCACTGTGACCTTTCCTGCTGTCTTGTCAATTCAAGGAGTGTTAAATCATGCATCAACTGGTTGACTGATCCAATAATTTATTGATCGATCGATGTCCATTAAAGAATCTCAACTGATGAATGGGCCAAGTGATTAGACGATTGAAGCACACAACAAGACGTTCCAACATGCTCAGAACAATAGGTGGCACCAAGTGCCAAACAGTCGGGCCAAAGAAGCTTGAAAACAAACTGGCAAGAGACTGCACCATTCAAGATGAGGGAGTAACTGATTTCAACCTGGCACTTGCATGCAACAACAAGCACAGACAGTGTGAAATCGTGAAAGCCGCACAGGACATGGCAAATCATCCTGAAAACACAAGCAAACACATCCCCCTTATCCTCCTCCATTTACAAAGAATGATAATGTACAAGAGTTTAAGTGTACGAGAAACAGGCATCAATGAAGATGTGGCACAGCAACCATACAACAATATGCGCCAAAACCAGTGCAACAAACCAAAATTGCAATGACTTGAGCACCAAACCTTGTGCGGTACAGACGGTCCCTGAGATCCGACAGGACTGCTCGGAAAGGCTCCAGAAGGGGGTCAAAAGGCGACCAAAAGTCAGCTGGCACGACATGCAATCAAACAGCTTTCAGTCTGTGAAACCATGCTTGTCAAACATACAGCGGCCAGCACTATTCATGTGATCTTCTACACCATCGAGGCATTGATGTCACTGAGGCCAAATTCGCACTGTGGATGCACCAATGTTTCTGTACAAAATTTCTGACCTGGACATGAGAATAGAAGAGGTGGCAGGCTAATCTTGTGGTATGCAGAATGAGCACAGTGTCAATCTGTATGGCTGGAACATGAGCCTCCAAACTGCAGCTTGCTAGTCAAACACACCAAACGATGGCATTGAAATAGGTAACACTTGTGGTGCCACCCTTCACAAGTTAACAGTCGATTGCAACAAGATCTTCTCTGCATCTGATTGTAGCCGATTTATAACAGCAAGGAGGCTGCACCCAGCAGGACATCGTCCGGATTTTACAGGTGAGGTCTGCACATCCCTGAGGGCTGGTTTGTTCTGTTGCCACCTTGTGTGGTTAAACGAACAAAGACTTGTATTTTCCTTTCTTTTGTCAGACATCTTGCCGAGGAATTGCCGATTGTGTGGCCATATTCAAAGAATTGTACATAAGCGGACAATATGCCTGTTGGGGATGCACGCTGAAGACTCCAGTAAGTCAATATCAACTCAGTGTTTTCTCCAAATAATAGATAGTGCGACGTTTGTCAATATTGCGACAGATCCAGTCGTTTCCTGTAGTAACATTGTGGCCTGTCAAAGCATTGTGCAGAGGAACAACGTCCCAGGTGGACAGTGTTTCAACGTTCACAATACAGCACATGCAAGCAACTGCATGACTAAAACAGGTCCACCACACTGATGTTCCCGAGTCAAAACTTGCAACAAGGCAACTTCCAGGCCATCATCAATGCACCAATGGACGTGAGACACATCACGTCCGAAAACAGGGATTTGAAACTGCAGGTTGGCTTCAAGCGGAGAATCATTCAACCAACATGTCCTCAAAGACATACCGTAGTTCTTGTTCTTCCTCTCTTCCGTAACCTTGGCAATGTCCACATTTGCCGCCATTGTCCTTGCAACTTTCTGTAGAACACCGACAACGGGAAGGTTCAAAACAGCACCTTTGGCAGGTATTTGGTGGAAAACGCTTGTGTTCCACGTGAAGCAATACAGTCCCAAGCCGCGCATCGCATAAATAGCTCATCAATGTATCCAGAAGGACAAGTCCTGCTTGGGGGCGTCCAGCCCTCGACTTCATTGCAGCCGCAGAACTTCCCACATCCAAGAGAGCACACAGGGATGATTCGACAAACCCGGGAGGATGCAGGTGTGAGACGTGCCAACAGCAGGCGCCACAGTGTTCATATATCAAACAGATTTCAGCCGGAGACGCCTGCTCCCCCCGCAAGACACAGCATCAGATGTGCCATGGCTCTTCATTCACACACCTGCAGCTCGCTGTTCGCCCGCCATATCGACAGGTCAAACATGAGCTGCTCGATTTCCTTGAAATAGAGGTCGCAGGCAGCCAGCTTGGCGATGATGCACACATCCCTTGTCGTGTTGTGCGTCACGTTGGGGTTTCCATCACGGTCGCCACCCATCCATGATCCGAACCTGAAAGGTGCATGGCTGACAGGCAGCCTGGGCTGTCCAATCTTTTCAAGGGCGGCATCCAATCGGCGCAGAAAAATCGGGAGCGCTGGGAAGATCACATTCTGGACGTATGCCAGCCCAGCACGCATTTCGTCCTGCACAAGAGCACAGCATTGGGCATCCGATTAGAGGCATAGTATCCTCATAAGTTGTGGTCCTATCGCTTCTTGTTTTCCTGTTAGGTCGGATAAACCTCAACAGTCAATGTGCCAACAACCCCAGGCCCAAACTACCAGGAGCTTGCAGTCTCGGCAGTGTTCACAGCTTTGATGCAAAGTGCTGACAATCCCCAGCTTGGGTTCATGGAGTACCAGCTGCAGAGTCAAAATATCCACAGTGCATAAAACCCATCTAGGAAATTTTCAAAGCAGTTCATTAGCATGAATAAGCATAAATTTCCTTGCGCAGGACGTTCTTGTCCATATCAACAACATGCATCGGCCATGCTCCCAGCATTGTGAGATCCCAGCTTCAGCGTTGGCAATTCAACACCGTAACCACACAAAGCAATCAGCAGCGGGATGGGATTAACAGCCAGAGATAACCATGCACAACTATTCTGTTTAATGTACTGATGAATCTATGTTGCCATGTACGACTTCAGCACACGTGGCCTGATACAGCACTTATGGAATATCAATTCCACATAGTGACAAGGACAGTGCCATAGAGAATGATTTCCAATCTACAAACCAATGAACCCATGACATAAGCCACAAGCTATCCAACATCCACAGCAAGAGGTGCTGTACATACGCAGTGTCAGCGTCCACATCCTGCTCCCCACATTGAAGCAGGGGATACTAATATGACATGGAGCCCCGAGTGTAGGGTAGGTACCAATACTGGGTACCTGCAATATGCATCTGCCTCTGAAACTGCGACAAGTAAAGTTGCAGAACTAGACACAAGAGCACCATACTTGCTGCATGTCGTCCCGCAATTCTGAATGTGCCAACGCCGATACAGAAATAAAGTAGCTAGTTCTTACATCAAGCCATAAGGTTGGTGAACCAGTGGTTGGTTTGGTCCACAGGCACCGAATCTCTACAAGCAAATACTCAAGTTTCAAAATCATCTACATCTGGTTCACTTCAGAGTCACTGGAGTTGGGTCTGAACTACATTCAGAAATTGAAACCTTCCAAATTCAAGTGTTGCTGTTTACAACGATTGGCATGGGATCTGCACACACCAACGAGTGCGCTGGCTCTGATGTGTCGTTGAGTCCAAAGAAAACTCAAACTGAGAGCTACTCACTGGTCTAAGGGCAAGGAATGGAAGGCAACATTTCGAACTAAAACCATGTGGGAACATTCAAGTGCAAAAAGGTACAGCTAAGGTCATGCTAGCCAAGGATCGCAACAGGGAGGAAAATTACACAACAAAACAGGGATGCCATTAAAACTCTGGTAGGCCAAATTTGGGCATTAACAGTACCACCAGCCAATGTGCATTGGCGTCTGCGCCATGCCAGCACTGAAATGGATTTCAGCATGCCAGTTAACAGCCAGAAAACCACACACACCTGGGGGGTCGGTTTCCTTCTGTGGATTTCATCCGTCCTCCATGCAGACTGAACCAGCCCTTTCAGGTTCTCCAGGCACTGATACTTTTCAAATTGGCTCATCTTCGTGTTGTGGAGCTTTGACAGCTCATCTTGCATCTTAGCGTACTTCAGCAGCAGCTCGCGCCTCAGCGCCTGGGTCGGATGAGCCGTGAACACCAGGTCCACAGACTGTGTACACAGTGACTGAGGCACCACAGCACATTGGCCACCGGTCAGCAAGGAGGAGATCATACTATACATTTGCCCTCAGCTTTGTCCACCCTGGTCAACTCCAAACTGCACAGATGCGCTCGTAAGTTGCAAATTTGAAAACAAGTAATTTTCCAAAACATGGAAAAAGAAGTTGACAACTGCTGAAACGGATGTTTACCAGAGACAAAAGAAGAAGCCAGGGGCTGCAACTGCTGCAATTTGTGCAGGCAGTACTACTGGCTCAAAAGCGCATTCTGTACTGAAAATCTTGGAAACAAGACACAACACCTGAAAGGTAGATGGTAACAGCAATGGCTTGGTCAGATGGCATGAAAGAATCAATAAACTCGATGGCTTCAGGAGACAACGGATGCTTCTGCAAGCTTCAGCGGGTTCCAGTCCACAGGACTGTCGATGATGAAGACCAGACAAAACATTGAAGCACTGCAAGATGTCTATCATTGAAGCTATTTACCTTGTAGATCTCATCGGCCTTTGCTCCATCTGTGTTCAGTATGGTCTCAAAGGAGTGACTCGTAGCCCTCAAGATGTGATCAGGCTGTTGGGGCAGAACTACCATGAGTGTAAGGTAGAGAAATTGACAATTGCTTCCACCGGCAACACAACCATCAGAAGCACATATGTCGTGTCCACCATCAATATTATCCCCTTGAAGAAAAATCAGGCGGGGAAGTGACAAATTCGTATTCAAAGCTGCCATCACCTTCCAACCAGGGAGAAGAATACGAAATCCACTTGTGCATCTTGTGCCCACAGTCTTTGGCCACAGGTGGAGGTACCAACAGTTCATTGCATGGCAGTTTCAGCCCACAATATCATCGTAGTTGCATGCTGTGTCGCTGTTTGCTCCTCTACCAACTGAAGGGGCTCACAATGCACACTTCAATCTGGAAGGGATCATAAGGGACGGCGACGCAGTAAATTTCTGCCACAATCACGCAAGTGGGACATCTCCTTACATCTGCTCCCAGGCGGGCTGCCTTCTCTGCCTGCGCATTGCTGACGGCCTCTGAGAGATTGTGCAGGTTCAGAACGTGAGAAAAGACGCTCGCAACCTGCAGGATCAGGATGTCAACCTGTGAGCGTCACACCGGTCGGAAGGAATTCCGCCCGATCTCCAACCCAAGCTAATCCTGATGCCAAAGCAGCGCTGCACGGGCAGACGTGTCCTCACCAACGCGGCTGGGTGCATCAACACGTTCATCTCCCCAGCGGGACGGCGAGCTTGATGCGCTTGGCGAGCGGCAGTACTTGATCACCCGAGTTCCGGCACTCTCGAAATTGCACAACGGCCACCGCAAGAAAAAAAGGCGGCGGCGACGGCTGACAACGCGTCCAGGGCATCGTTCCCGGCCGCGCGGCCACAAGGCGCAATTCGCCCAGCGCGTTCACCACCCCCTTGGCCGCAAAAGGCGGCTTGTTGTCCAAGGGGCCGATGCCATCGAACCGGAAATCCACCCACCAGCACTCGCTCCGACGTCTGCAGCTTGGCCATGTAGGTCGCCAGCGTCTCGAAGTGGTCGTCGGTGCCGTCCTCGCACCACTCCCGCGCCATGCCGTAGATCACGTCCACCTTGGTGGCCAGCCGCGGGTGGCGCTTCTGCAGGATGTTGAAGAAAATCTGCCGCAGCAGGTTGTCATCGTCCCTCAGCAGCCGCTGCGCCTCGGGCAGCAGATGCGCATCCACTTCCGCGGAGGACATCCCGACTGGCGCCACTCGCGAGAGCGGGGGGAGGGGGGGCCGGGAACCAGCGGACCTCCGAGCTTGCGAAAGGGCGCAGCTGTGTCCGGGGGGGTGCACGGAATAGTGGGCGAGGGTGGAGAATATTACGTCAGGACAGATACGGCCCTGTTTGTATCGGGTACGGTGCCGCAGACGACCGTATGTGACGTGGTGCACTCGGTGAATGGCGTTATTGCCCGATGCTGCCTCTCACATCCTTCTCTGGGCGTCCCAGCCACGACAGTGAGTGTGACCCGATGATAGTACGCGACAAAAACTCTCTCTGGGGTTCCCAGCCACGATGGTAAGTGTGACCCTATGGTTGTACCCGCCCAAGAACTCTCGTCACTGACCTCGGCGCTCTCGTTGGCTTGCGTTGGCGTGAGGAGGCCAGTTGCGCAGCTAATGTGGCGGAGGGCCCCGTGTTGCGCGCATGTGCAACGTGCATACATGCTTGTGTTCCAGGGACTGTCCCTTCAAGGCGCGGCAAGAGGCACAAAGCGCTGGCGCCTTGACCAGACGCGATGCTTGCTTGGTGGCTGCGCACCTCGCAATTTTTTCCTACTTAAAGGCAGGCTTGTTACTTACGGCTTAAACACAGGGTGCATTCATGTATCTTTACGCAAAACGTGTAGAAATAGATACTACGTAGTAAATACAGACTGTTGTTTACGCCGTAAATTACAAGCCTGCTGAAAGGGATGGGCACGGATACTATTGCTTTAGGGCGGCCACAAGTCGGTTGGAAAGTGCCTGGGGCGGCGCTCAGGAACATTTGTGACGTGCGGATCGAAGGCAAAGCCAGCATTGTGCAAGATTAGGGACACTCAGTGTGAGAGTTTGGGACGTGGTGTGCACCTGTAGGGCCGCATTCACTTGGGCGTATGGGGTATGGAAGGGGAGATCTCCCCACTTCTAGAGTGAAGATCTGCGTTCTGTCATTGGGGGAAGTTTGTGTGCACAAGAATCCGGGGCCGCAGAACTTAAATTGGCGATTACCTCAGTATGTAGCGAAGGCAGATGCATTTGATTCCCCGTTGTGCAAGCGGATCACAAACGAGTTGGGGACTCTCCAATGTGAGCGCAAGACAATGGGATATGGTCGTATGGTCATGGGAACAGCGGGGCGGCGGGAATTTCCTAAGCTTGGAGGGGATGGTTGAGAGACCTTTGTGGACTTATTTCTATGTGTCATTGGAATGCTTGGCACGCTACAATCCATACCGAGTGGCAAACTCGTATGCGCGGCATCGAATGTTGCAGCGGCGTGCCTTTATGAAGCTTCTCATTCGAAAATTTGTCATGTGAATTATCTTCTAAACCGACTTTTATAATATGCATACATGCTTCGGCAAGACTTCAATTTTCATGGTTCCTGATTTTGGTTGTGTCCGTTTGCGTTTGTTGACAATGCGCCATGATCATGATCGTGTCACTGATAAGTGGGGCTGGCTAGCCCCACAAATATATCGTGATGCTAATTCACAGAGAGGCCGCCGCGATTTTGTGGCGCGATACCGCTTGGACTCAAAAGTTCCTGGCTCGTTTGGGTCGTGGTCGTATACCAGCACCACGAACAAATTTGTAAGGTAAATTGGACCTAGACATCAAGCTTCATTAAGTCAATCGGGGAAAGCTCTGCACTGAATGTGAACGGCGTTGTGCCGCCTCGTGAAGCGTGACGCGCATTCATTGCCCTAACGGCACCGCCGGCTAGCTGGATCATCAAAATCCATCGATAACATTTGTCAGAAAATGACAGAACGCAGCCCGGCCAAACGGCTCAGGGCTTCTTGGACAAGTTCAAGCCTGGCACGTGCAGGGTAGGTTCAGACATGGATTGACAATTTTCTAGAATAAAACCCGCCAAACTGACTGACAAGCATTAAGCATTTTCCAATCGCCCCTTACCAAAGGCGTGGTGTAAAACTGATTCAGCGGACTTCAGAAGCTCAATTTATGGTTTGTTCCCCGTCGTTTAGCACAAGTTTTCCCCCGCGTTTCCAATTCTCATGGGCGCAGGTCCAGCGAAAACTTGTGCCAAGGCAAAGTGGCCTCGTGTGCCCGAGCGCTTCACTCCTAACAAAGAATCTCAGGCAGCAAGGCCACCGGCCAAAAGCGATGTGTGTTGCCCACGACAGAGAAGGCCTTCTGTTCGGATACTCCTCTGGAAAAGAGTCGAAGAGGCCCCGGCCTGCACGGGCAGTGAATGCCAGTCGGTCTGGAAACTTCAGCCTTGGAATCGGGGATTCATCACAGGGAAATGTGTTTTAGTCATCGAATTGGAACGGTTGTTGAATTGTCGCCCATGGCAGCCTGCTGCTGCGAACCAGTCGCAACTTTCGAAAGTCTCTCACGCCTGCATTGGTTTTCAGGTCCCTTGCGGTAAACTTATATATTGGGTCCGCAGGGCGGGGTGTACGGACTCCACACGCCATCCAGGCAGTGCATTTACAGATCTTTTCCGTACACGCGGTGCACACAGTGCCCTTTTATACACGCATCACCACCGAATATTACTACTTGTAAATAATTGAAATTGAATTGGCGAGTTTTTTTCCTCGTGAGGGCTCTTCCCACCTGAGGTAAGGACACCGTCGCTCCTTCTCCACCGCATAAAATTTCCTCTTCCGTCGTGCCCAGGTTACGCCATCACCGTCCAATTTGAATGCCGTAACGAGTAGTGGCATCCAACCTCGACGAGACCGCATGGACTTGCAAATCTCCTTTCCTAAGTAATTGGCCTGTTGTGGGGTCCGCAAACATAATTTCTGGGGCTCACCATGGCCCAGTACTTTTTCCCTCGCTGCACGTATCTTCTCTGTGTGTTGTGGCCCACAGACTTGCCCTGTTGTAGAGAGGGGGTCATCTTTCAGGTGTTCGTGCCCTCGTCGGTTCATGCTCAGTGCGGGATGCGGTGGCCACGCCGGTAGCTCTACCGGTCGCTGCCAACATGTCCACCGTAGCTGCCCCGCCCGCCATATTTACCTGTCCATCCATTGCGCTCTTGCAGACTTGCGCAATGCGCAACCCCATGGCGATCATGGTTTGCATTGCTCTCAGGCGCCTTTTGCCATGCGCCATATACGAGACGGCGTCTGCCGGAGTCGGCAGAGGATGGCCAGTTTTCGGCGACGTCGTTTCGCTTGATGAGGGCAATATATAAAAACAAATACAGCCGTTTCTGTGTTTACGCGCTTTTGCGCATGGAAATGTAAACGAAAAACTGCTGCCGTAAACCTAAAGACCAAGCCTGCTTCCAATACATCATTCCACTGCAAACTTTTATATAACATTCAGATGAGATATACTCCACATGATAGAGAGACCCTTCAAGGTGGCCGCAACGAGAGTTGTGCAAACGTCCCTGCTGCCTGTGAGAGTCTAATCTCAGCACAGCTGAGATAAGCCGAGACTATTTTGTTACTGGGCGCAGTAGGATTAGAACATTTTCCTATTTCCGGCTTTCTGGGGCACACAGGGATTCTCTCGAGCAGCAGCATGAACAAATTTGTGAGAGCCTTTACAAGCTCTCGAACGAGGTAGATGGATAAGAATCCAATGGCGTTATATTGTCTTGTTCAAGGGCAGTGTGCGGTCTCTTCTTGGCAATGTTGTCAAGTGGTTTGCATGACAGATTTGGGGCTGCACATTACAGTACCAATCCATCGCATGCCCATGAACGTAGCACGAATGTTGTTGCATTCAAACATTCAGCAGATTTACTAAACACCAGAAGATGGTCTGTTGTGTCGCCTGTAATAAGCTTCGTGGAAATTTGTGATGAAAACAGGCGGGTACGCACCGTCATGAAAGTCCGTCTCCGCCGGTTGGTTGTCTTGGCATGCACCGCACCCCCGAATTCGAGTCTCAACACACAATCGTATGGAGCTAGACGCAATTAACCGCCTTGCGTTCATGGCTCCTGATTTTCCTCTCTTTGATATCGTTCACGTGTTCGATGGGGCAACAATTGCCTTGCTGGCAACGCTGTGGATGAAAGTCCAATGCTGAAGGTCGACAGCCCGCAGATGTGCATCTGGTGACCACCAGGTGTACCAGTACACCTGCATCGTGTGAATAATTGTTGAATTCACAGGTTTAAGGCTGCGGTTCCGTGCACGTGGATCGCTGAATTGTTGGAATACACACTGCAAACCTTGCAAAGGCAAAGCCTTTCTTGTAATGGTACACATTGCCAGGCGATGACCTGCGATGCTCAGAGCCCCGTATGCAGATTTGACTGCTGCGGATGTACACAAAGATGCATGTACGTATAGGAATGCACAAGCAACGGAGTCTACCTGAGCGTACAGGCATGACTACGTGTATAATGACGCGCAACAACGCCGCTATAAAATGCGCAGTGCGCCTTTTCTTAAGAAAAGGCCCAAAGCTTCGGGCCCCGCCATCACGAAGACACAAGATGGCGACGGTCCCCTGCATCCCTTGAAATAGTACGTGTTGCACCAGAAAAGAAAGGGCCAAATAACACGTGTTCAAAGGTGTACAAAGTTTACGAGTTTGGTTTATTTTTGTGTTTTTACCGTGCATGACACTCGTGAAACGCATACATATATGTTCGCAAAAAGTGTCATTGGTCCTGCTTTTGCTAGTGTTGGATCTGGAATGCGAGTACATTTCGTCCCCATCCTGCTGGGCCTGTACCGGCACCATCGCCTAAAACTTATCAAAAGGCCCCGCCACAATCCTGACGCATTTACGGGAGCCCATCGCCAGGCCAGGAAATGCGCCATTGCATGTTGTTCTGGCGGCGGGCTCTGGAGCGATCAAGCCTGCGCATGTGCGTGCGTAATCGGAGCTTTCCTCGTTTCCTGACACCACCGACGTGCTGAAAAGACAGGTGGCGCTGCATTTCGCGAGGTGCCCGAAGAACCAAGAAAAGTGCTGCGCCGGCACTTCCGACACAGATGTGGCCAAAAGAGGGTCACGGTGGGGCTTGTCGGCATCCAGGGGCC